AGTACTAGTAAGAGAGTGAAGGTGCTGAGACACTGTGCTAGTTCTTCACGCTCTGTGTTCAGAGCCGCTACCACACAAAACATTAAACTACATAGATTGCATTAAACTACATAGATTGCATTAAACTACATAGATTGCATTAAACTACATAGATATTTGGGGGAAGTGGTCAAGGAGGTGAGATGCAACTGAGGTGAGGAAGAGTGAAAGCAAGATTGCAAGATATTAGGTATAGATCCTCTTTTTACCTTACCCAAACCATTCAATATTGTCCTTCTAGCAGGGATTTAATTGCAATCTTCTTCACCTGTGCCTAGACTTGTGTTGATTTTCCTGATGTTTTAGTGTGTCAACCCAATTTATAAAAAGAACACTCTGAAGTTTCTTTTGCAAAGACTATGTTTGCTTTAGTATGTCTAGTACTAGCAAAATGCTTCATTTCCTTAGGCACTGAGGAAAATTATATGACTCCTCAGTTTCCAACATGAAGGAAGGACAAATTTCTATACATAAAGTTGGGCCTCTGGGTTTCGTTTCTGCCTAGATACAGGAGCTGCCACTTTCTCATGGCAGTGAAGAGACCCTCAGTGTTCACCTGCGTGTCCTCCGCCTGTCTTGTGGTCTTCCTTTCAGGGGCCCTGGGCCTCCCTGTTGGGACGGAGCCTTCATTTGATTTGCACCCATAACTAACTTGAATGCAGTCACATCCAGTTAGGACAATCAGAGATACAGCTTCATCATGAAGGCTAAAAGGAAATCTCTTCACATTAACTAAACATCCAGGATTCTTACGTGTTTACAAAGAATAAAGGGACAGACTTTTTTATTTCCCAGATAAACTTAAGTGGGAGTGGAATAAAGCAGAATTTTCTTCCCTTTTCCTGAGAGAAAGGTGTTAACATGGGAAAAGGTAAAGAAAGAACATCCTAGTAAACAAAGAAACAGAAGCCTAATCCTCCCTACATACACGATAGCAGAATATGACTTCTGTATTAAAGGAAATGATGAATGTTTTCACATTATGGGAACCGCTTTGGCAAAACCTTAAAATAGTGCTTTAGAGATATGTGCAGACATGGAGAAATTTGTCTCTACACTTTAAACCTTTTTTCTTCCACAAGGATGTTTAGTCAGAATAAGCTTTAGACTAGAACTAAGAGAATGTGAAAGAAATTTCTAGCCTTGAGTGCTGCTGCCACCTACATGGCGGGAAGACCACAAACAAACCCCGCTCCTCAAAGGCAGGCTTGCTGCCGCCTCTTTGCTATGAAAACACACCTTGGAAACCCCCAAAGTTGTTTCTATATTTGACTGTCCTAATGGCAATTGAAATGACAGTATTTATTATGTTCACCTCACTTCTTATCTCAAATTCTTGCAGAAATTGTACCAAATGGTTCTCTTTAGATTGGTGGGGATAGACTGGTTATCTGAAATGGGGGCTGATACAAGAAAATCTCCCTTATCCTGAAAACAATCCCAAGTGCAAATTGATCCCCATGGATCTTTATGGGCTCTAAAATTCAAGAGGGAAAATTAAACAAAATGAGGTTTCCTCAGTTGATCGCAACTATACTTTGATGCAACAGGACATAGCATAGATGAAAGGCCTCCTTTGATATAGCTAAGAGAATATTTCTTATAGCAAATGTGGTTGCCATTGCAGAATTAACAGGAAATCTCTTTAAAAGTCTAAGGAAACTTGTGCCAAGTCAGAAACATATCACAGACTGTCCTTTTATCTCCAATGGCATCAAGACCATGGTTCAGAGACTAAACTGTGGGAAAAACTCCTCCCTTGAAACGCACATGCAAGATCGAAAAGCCAATTGATAACTTTACAGATAATTGCAATTAAAATAATTGCTAAGTGAATAAATGCTAGGTTTTTAAAGCATGGAACAACCAGTTTTCTAAGCATGAAGTATAGCACTTGTTGTTATGGCATAATGTTATAAATATCGATGTTTTGCTGGCATTAGGCACTTTGCAGATTTAGACACAACGATGTACTAAACATGTACTGATTTTCTTTGTTGTTAAAAAAAAAGCACTTGTATCCTTGGAAAAAAAATCTTGCTACCTTTCTAATTAGTAGCATGTTGAAGACAGAAAGGATCCCTAAAATTGATGGCAGGAAATAAGCTCTGTGCAATGGAAAAAGGCATTTGGAAAAACAATGTCAAACAGAAGAACCATATATGCCCCATAGGTCCCCCTGTATAAGCTAGAAGAAAGCCCTTTCAAACATCTTCAGTGTCCCATGACCTTAGTTCTGGTGTGGTATCAAAACAACTATTTTATTGTCATCTGTATCATTAGAATCACTTAACAATGAAGTTGTCACAGCTTATTTACCTGCAGTATGCTTTCTGGGATAAAGGTGAATTGATTCCAGAAAGAATGGCAAAAAACTCAATAGTCAAGATTAGTATATTTTAATACATTTATAGACATCAGATTAATAAAAAATATCCGTAACATCAAAATTTCAAATACAAATGAGATCTAAGGTCAGCGTGTGGGTAAGGGGAGAACAAGGAGTCTCTGCTCTGACTATGAGATGAATTCATGCATGCTGTCTCCAAGAAGGGTCACAAGTGGGGGTTTCCTGTAGCCCTTTTTACTGGGCTACCTGTTTGCTTTTCTCCTACATGCCTCTGGGAGATCCTTGTTGATTGATCACAGCACGGGGTGGTCTGGGGGCCACTGTACAGAAAGCCACAAAACTTCATCAGAAGGTGTCTACTGAAAGTTTAACTTTGCAATTGTTTTGGCCACAGTTATTTCTAAAAGTATGTTACAATGTGCATGTATGTTACAAGTATGTTACAATGTGCATGTTACTATGTGCATTTTATAGCACAATCACTTTTTTATAAAATTTGCCTTAACTTCCGGTACTTAACACATAAAACAACACTTTGTGAAGAATCAAGGGTTACGTAGAGGAATGCTTTTAAGTAACTGAATAACCAAGTATGTGCAATATAAAAAAAATTAAAAATTGCTTGAATGAGCCCATTCTGTGAAAATAAGACTTTAAAATCAATTGGAATCCATAAGTTCTGAGTGTTCATCTCAAACACATGACATAACAGTTAATTTTTAAAAATTCAATGGTCGTAAGGTGCCCTCTAAAGATCAAAGAGAAACAGTGTTTTTTCTAAAATGTTCATTTGAATAATTCTAAAAGTTTTTTTTTTTTTTTAATATGGAACATTGGAGGAAAATGTGTAAAAAAGAAAATAAAAAGTACCCAAGATACAACCATCTAGAGATAGAGTGTTAATATACAGGAAAATGTTTTCTATCCTTTTCTATTAGTGACCTGTTCAAAGTGGCCTTAATTTAGCTTCTAAAAGAGCAGCAGAATGATCAGGTCTGAGATCACCTCTCTAATTGTGTATTTGTAATATGACAGATTTTACCTGATTTTTGAAGTGTTTGCCAGTGTTCAGATTACTTTCCATAAAGCAGTGATGAGCCTGTGAGGGAACACTGTAACTCACCCAGGGAAGGAGGCTCCAAGAAGCACAGCAAACACACACCGTCACCTGAACATGTGTGAGCCAGGTCTCAGCATTAAATCTACATTCTTTCCCCCACTATACAGCCTGTGTGTAGCTCTGCCATGAAAAGCAGAATCTCTGCTTGCAAACTTGAGACTATGATATTCCTCAGAGGGAAATACATACTTATAAATATCACCAAGGTTATTACCCAGAGAGAAAGACAAGATGATTTTTTTAATGAGTTATTTATTACAATGACAAAGACGACCCTGGATATAAACTTAATTGTTTGCTAATATAATTATTCCATTTTTTGCTTGAGGCTGGAAGTACAGAAGGCCAAACACCATATCAGGAAGCATTTGAGTCTGACTTTCTAGCTTTAGAGCCAGGTGGTTAGGGTGATAAAAATAATTATCTGGCCATTTACTATTTCAAGTTCTCCTCACATCATTTTTAAACAGACTACTGGTTTTGTGCCATAAACACACTTGCACATGGGCATAGGGAATATTAGTTAAACATCTATCTCCTAAACTCTTATTTCTAGGAATTAAATGTTTTCAGAATTTATATTGATAAAAGGTTTTAATCATTTACTATGAATTTTTCAATTTTCGTAACTGTAAAATATAATGCCCAAAAGTGTTCAAAACATCATTTGGTAAGGTCAAGGTTATGCCAATTCTACTTTCCTGTAACTAGTAACACCATAAACTGTTTATTAAGGACTCAATATCAGCTTCCTTACATCTGAAAAATTCTAAAAATGGGAATTTTAAAAATTTATTTTTATTCTTTGTGAAGGGAATAATAGGACGTGATTATAAAACAGGTACTTATTTTTAATGAACACAAGAGAACTTGAGCATCCAAATAAGTTTCATTAAATTTAAATTTAATAAAATTGCCCCTTTGATAGAATATGAACTTACTTGATATTGCCATCATTAAAAATGTTTTGGGGACTCCTTCTTGTAGTAGCATTCAGAGTCAGTACACAACATGTAGGAAAATGTGTTCCATTGTTTTTTCTTGCTACCTTTCTTTATTTCCCAACTTATTCCAAGCGACTTTTGATTGTTTTCAAAGGCAGGGGTAGTACATTTGTCAATTTTCAAAGATGGCAATTTCCCAGTATTAGTATAGTATTCATGATAATATGTTACTATTTCTAAAATACAACTTCAAAGTAATTTCAAGCAATGCCATATTTTAGGGAAAAAAAGGACACATATTTCTATCTACTTTAAAGGAGTCACTTATTCGATATATCTATATTCTGTTATATTAATTTTGGTCAAATCACTATTAGTTCAATTATATAGCTCTTTCCTCTAATCTCCTCCTCTTCCTTGCTCACCCCATCCAACACTTGATATTGGAACCCCAAAATATGTTTGTTGAACTGAAGTGACTTGAAATTCTTTATTAAACAGAAATAGATATATAGTTAATACTTTATTTCCATGGGATAGGCAATAGCTGTATTCCATATGCACGCTAATAATCCTTTTTGATGATTTTCTATAAATCCAGAAATTATACAGTATAAATCATAGCATATAAATCAGATCATTAAAAGCCTTATTAGGTGAGCACTTTTTATATTTATATTGCTTTGCATATTTAGGTTAAGAATTCCTGCTAGTCAAGCTTCTTTCTCAGAAAAGAACTACACGAGTTTATACTTATTAAGGATCAAATGTGATATGCTATTGGTAGATTCTTTTTTCCCCAGCTCATGTCTACATGACCAAGCAGATCAACCATTAGCTAAAGACATTAGCCTTAATGTCATTAGAAGTCCAAATTAACTTGGCTATACAAGATTGCTCCCTGTTATTCTGAGTATCACTTATTTGGGTTAGTTGATGATTAAATGGAATGAACTATTTGTTGACAACATTTCATGCTTAGGGATGAGATTTACTAGAGTATGATTGATTGAATTAAAGCACCGACTACTAAAACAAAATGTCATAACATAACAAATTTGGTAAAGTTTTAGATTAAATACATTAAAACAACATTCAAATCATTATGTGTATCATGTTTAAAAACAGTGCGGTTTTAATGTTGATTACTATATAATTCAGGAATTGAAAAAACAGAAGAACATCTAAAATGGTATTAAACTTATGTCTGTGGGCTGGTATTCCTTTCTGGAAATATTGAAAGAAAAATGAGAAGCAGGAATATGGGATGATTTAGACAATGACTTTCTAAAAGTAGATGCACTTGGATATTTTTGGTCAGTAGTCACATTTTCAGCACACTATGGCTAAAATATCAGCAAATCTACTCCAACCTAGTCATTTGACCAGTTACATAGCTTATATGCAACAAAAAATTGACATGTTTTGGGACTTCTTCATTTGTCCAAATCTAACTTCCATAAATGAGATTCCAGTCAGCACACCTTGCAGAAACACAACTTCGATATCCATGAATGATGCCTTGACTCACCTAGAAAGAACACAGATTATCTGAGGTTATACGGTGAGATAAAGAAAGAGTAAAGGCAAGAAGGAGGAAGGTGGGGAAAAATGGAAGGGAAGAGAAAGGAAGAAATAAACTATAATTTCTACGTTTCTTTTGTTTCTTGAAATAAAATATGTTAATATAGTAAGTATATTCTTGTCTAATTAACAAGGCCCCGAGAAAATGTATTTTGTTGCACATATTATTAATATAGGTTGTTTTTCTTTAATTGCTAAGAAAGGTGAAAACTTCCAGCAAGATGAATTGCGTTTGAATTAATCCATTTTTATAAATTTCAAGCAGCTAAATTATCCTTAGAGAAAGCCATAATTGCGATTAAGTTATAAACACTTCTTGAAATACAGTTTGTTATAGAATCAAAAAATTCCACTTATTTCTCAGACTAAATGGATGATTGTCATTGCAGGCTAAAAACATTAATTGATCTAAATTAACTCTCGATTAATTGAAGCATTTTTTGCTTTAGTAAACAACTTACAAATACATTTATATTAATGATGTGGCCATGTATAGTAACAACCACTCCTACTGGTAAAAATTCAAAAAGCTGATTATTTGGTTTGGTTAAACCAATATTCACTATTGAACATAAGCATATATAGTGTAGAATTTTATATCTTTAAAAAGTAATTAAGATTGACGTTTAAATTTCTCCCTTTGGGTAAATGTTTTAAAATATTGATATTGTTAGTTAAACACAACCAGAAGAAAGAGTTTACATGTTTTCACTACTAAAATTGTTCTTTCTTCGAGGACTTTTTTTTTTTAGCAGTAACTATAAGCAGTGTGTGTTCTCACTGGCTATGATTGATGTGTTGCTCATACATTCCACATTTTTTCTGCTTCATGCATCATCATCAGCCATCTCCAACACTCCAGTGCTGAATCTGTCCTACTTTCTGTTACCTGATTTTTGCTGGTGATTCATGAGTCAGAATAGTAAAAGGAAAAAAAAAATCACCTTGGTTTTTTTGTGATGTAGTAGCCCCTAGAATCTGTGAGAAATCTAGTTTTGCTCATCAGATTCATGCAAATGCAATATTGATTGACAATGATGTATATAGATCTACACACATAACATGCTATATAAAAACCACTAAAATGTTCTACTAATGACAGAATGCATACTGATTATAAACCACTTCAGAGTGACGTGAAAACACTATCTAAATGCTTTTTTGTACTCCTAAGCTCTTTCATGTCACTATTATTTTCAATTGAAGCTATTATTTAAGTATGCTAGCCCTTGTGCGCAGAAAGCAAAATTCTTAATTTTCCAAGCCAATAAGGTGATAAAAGCTCAGGTTCTCTCATTAACACTTGGATAAAAATTGTGAATCTCACACCAACTTTATCATCATGAGCGCAAAGATGAGAGACAAGGAATGCTTTTTATTATATTCTGGAGATGGAGGATGGAGTTTAAATCACTGAGCATGAAACAATTAACAAGAAATTAACCAGCAAAAGACTAACCTGAACTATTTTTGTGATAAAATCTTTCAGATTCAGAAGCAACCAGGCCTTAAAGAGCCAAAGAAATCATAATGGCCCTAAAATCTCAAAAAAGGGAGCTGCAGGTTCATAACGTTGTCTCAGTGTTTACGATACTAGACATCAAAGTTATTCCCATAGGTCTCAGGAATGTATAAATGCCAGTGCAGAAGCATTTAGACTTTAGAGTCGAAGCCAGAAACCTCAATCTGGGATTCACCTGAGCATTGAAACTCTTTGCTAATGAATTATTCCAAAGAAAAGACACTGCTGAGGGAGACCAAAACCTATCAGACAAGACCTCTAGGTTCACTAGCAAGGTCAAAAGAACAAGAATGCTCTGGTCTAAAGTTGCTTTGCTAACCTTAATGGAGTGCAGGCACTCACCTGGGTATATAGCTTGAACCAATAAAGAGATCACCATAGTGTGATGAGTAAGGTAGTGTGCCCCGGAGACCAGGTGAACTATTTCTCCACTAGGCATCTAAAGTGTGACCTATATGCACCTTCAGCCCATTTACAAATGGGTCATTCTAGTCAAGTCATTGCTGGAGATGCAGAGATGTCAGTGGAAAAAATCATCGACATGCCAAGTGCAAAACCCATTGTATTTGAAGGTAATCAATTTATAAAATTGATTTTACCATTTCACATAAATTCTAAAAATTTGATTTGATTAATGACTTTCTAAGATGCTAAAGAATTTCAACTTCACCTTTAAAAAAGTATTTTAGCTTTTTTGTGTTTCAATGTCCCTACTGCTCTCTGCATATGCAAATGAGTTTGTCTTAGCCTAGGAAGCCCTAAGAGCTAAGTAAGATGATGTTTAGAGGATCTGAAAGAATAGACTTCATTTGGAAAAAACAATATATGAGGCAATATTCTTGGATGGCAAAATGATTTTTTGTTTTCATTTTCTATATGCTGTATGAGCAACTGGTCTATTCATTAAAAATGATGTAATAAATATATTAGTCATTTAGAATTGCATAGATAAAACCATGTAAGGTCAATATCCATTAAAGCTAGAAGACTGACCACATTCAACTCTGTAAAGGGGGATTTTGCAAGTACATGAAAATGTTAAAAGGAATTTTAAATGAGTGATAATATTCTAGGTGAAAACGGTAAGACCAGTGCCTTCAGATTTAAAGACACTCTTTATGTACAAGCGATAATGGACATGTTCATGCAATTATAAGTTAGTTATAGAAGCACCTCTGTTGGTTTGCAGACATCTTTGCAAAGCTTACCACTTAAAATCCCCAGGTTTTGTCTTCTCTTCTAACAAAGGTGGTTAACACTTTCTAGATCAACACTACTCCTACATGGTAAAAGAGGTAACAAAACCCCCAAAGTAATGTTCAGTTTTGATGCCCCCACACTTGAACGACTTGACATTTTGAAGTTAATTTTGGACATTGAAAAGTGACATGTTTTCACAGTTCAAGAAAGTCCTTCTGTGCCACCAATTTTCCATCACCCTCCTTCATGTTCAGTTTTAAGAATTTTGCCTCTCAAATAAATGGTCATAACTTGGAGGAAATGTGCTTGCTCATCAAAATCTTTCTTACTAAACAAGCACCTCTGTCAGAAGTGTCTTAATTTCTTATCACAGAATTTTATCCACACGAGGAGCAATAAATAATTCATGTCACTGCCTCTTTGTGTGCGTCCCTGAACTGCACAGAGCTGGAAGGCTGACAGCTGTGTCAGGACAAGCACCAAAGATCTGACATGACAAGTGACTAACAAGTTTCTTTCAGTTCATCGTGAAAGAAGACAATGGCCCAAAGTGCAGAGAGAAATCCTGAAACAAAATAAAACTGCTTCTTTCTTTTTACCTAAGTGTTTGCTATGAGCTTATTTCCAACCCACAATCCCTGGTCATTTTATAGGCCTGCCCAGCCCCCTTTATTCCTCACACTCGCTTGGCCATTTACGCCTGGCCACGGATCAATATGAGCAATTCTTGGAGAAATACGATGTCTCCATGACAACCAAGCCACAAATTCTCAGTGGAAGGCAGTGAGACCAGTAGTGAACTCTCCAGAGGTTTCTAGGCCTATAAGGCAAGATGTCTTAAAATGCAGGAATGGACAGAGGAAAAAGCCAGAGTAATTCATCCTTTATTACCAGTTTAATGATGTCCGATGTATAGAACAGTACTCACTTTTTAACTTAAGATTCTTTATCAGACTGGTGTTTCCTAATTAATCTGACTTCGGGAATATAATCATTTTTCTGTATCAGTCAAATAGAGTATGTTATGTTTGAATCTCCTGACCATTTCACTCCTCTTGAGGGGTGATAGAAATTTATTCTGTGTGAGAAATAGTATAAAACCGATCTACTCTTGCCAAAAACAATGAACACTTAGATAAAAACTTGACTCATAGGTTTTTTCTGCCTGACAAAAGGGTTGAAAGCATACTGTTTAATAGGACAGCTTTTAAACCTATCAAAATTAGGTAATTTTAGTCAACACTTAATTTTTAATAGAAAGTTAATGCTACCACTATCCTCTCCCTTTTACAGGAGGCCTAATCTGTTTGTCTTTTAGGTTTTATGATGGGGGTGGGGTTACTGTGCTGATTAAACATTTCTGTCATTGCTTAAGATGCCACTTCCCAGTTCTGGGGGACACTAAAGCAGAAGTGTGGCTGGGAAGGGGCACACTGCAGCAGTTCATCTTTTGAGGAATCTTGGTGTAGCGGAGGGGACTGAAATACAATGCCATCGCCACTGGGCCTATTGGGGTTCTGAGATGACTTAGGGGACCTGACATAGATTGCAGGCTGCACCTTTCACTGAAAATTAAATCTCAGTAGCTCTCCTCGGGGAAGGATCAGGGGACTGTTTGCAGCTGCCCCCTGTCAGCAGAGGCTACAAGATTTGGAAATCTCTTAACTAAGCTGACAGGCCACAGAGAGGATGAATCAAAAATCTGATACATGGATCAACACACAAAGATGCAGGAGGGTAGAGGGTGCACAGCAACCAGCAAAAACGGGAAAGAAAAACGTTCAGTGGGGGAGATAGTTAACTCTTTCACTCATGGCGCTAAGGTCCATTCTAGCACCTGAGGGCATTGTAGTGATCCAGAAATGTCACGCAACTTCCACAAATTTTTTTTTCTTTCATTAGTTGTTACGACTTGGTAGGCATCAAAATAAAACAGAAAAACCAAGTATCTATACTTAAATATTAGTATTTCGGTCCTTCCAGTACATGTCTGTCTATTCTTTCTATAGAGAAAATACAAATATACATAACTTGGACACAGAATAAATTTTATTGAGTGAGAAAGGTGACTATTTTCTTTGCTTCTATTAGTTGACAGAGTTCATTAGTCCACTACTGTTGTGCTAACACACCCCCACCCCAGTTAGAGTGCTGCTGTGTGTATTTAGCATGGTAAATAGAACATAATAATAACAATTTGTTTCTTTTCTCTCCAACTCTCTACTTCCACTTGATCTCATTATTTGAAATATTTAAAATGCTGCCATTTCTGCAGTTTCCAATCTCTACCTCTATTAACCAGTTTAGCCTAAAATTGATGATAATGAACTAATAGTGTCAGCTTCCCTTCTCAGTCATAAAGCCTTTGTACTTCCTCCAACTGAATTCTTGATGAAAGAGGAAAAGATAACAGCTCCACACTGTGACCCCTGGAGGTGACCATTAATTTGACAGAGCAGCTGCTAAGAGAAAACAGCATTACAATGTCCTTTCCCCCCACCCCCTTCTAAGGACCCCAAAGCTGTGTCAAATTTATCATTTTATACTTGACTATTTTTAAATGGCTTTCACCTGGACTCTCAGACTCTTCCAAGACACATCTGTCAGGCACGTCCTCGGTGTCTTGGAAGTTTGCCGAGTTTGAGTCGCTGTCATGCTTGACCGGACTGACTGGCGCTATTAAAAAAAGAGAGAGAGGGAGAAGAAAGAGAAAGAGGGAGATGAAGAAGTAGTAATAAACACCATTAAAACAGTTCCTTTTGGTTCCACAGTTATTTGCTGGGACACGCAATGTAAACACAAATAATAAATTGAAATAAAATGTATCCTCTAAGTATGTATTGGCAGACATGTAATTAGTTGAAAAATCTATAGATGAGACTTTATCTTAGAAGAAAAATAAGTTCATGGCATCAGCTTAAAAGCTACAAAGTAACAAAGTGATCCCTTCGAAGTAGAAATCGTATTTTTAATGCATAAATCTAAAACAATATAGTCAATTAGCGGCAACAGGACACAGAGAGAAGAATATCAGGCTAGTCAATTAGAAGGACTGTCTATGCTGGTGCAATGGCCCCTTTTATCACACAAATCACAACCGAGGAACACTCTAGTTGCATTGTGGTCATCTTCAAGCTGGATTTCTATGATACCAAACACCATCACCAACAAAAAACACTGTAAAAACACATCTAAGCAGACAACACTAATGATAAAGGACTGATCACAAAAATCTGCAAAGAGCTGATGAGACTCAGCAACAACAAAGAAAATAATCCAGTCAAAAAATGGGCAGAAGAGCTAAAAAGAAACTTCTCTGAAGAGGAAATGCAAATGGCCAACAGACATATGAAAAAATGTTCAACATCACTTGTAATCAGGGAAATGCAAATCAAAACTACCATGAGATACCATCTCACACCAGTGAGAATGGCACATATTAAAAAAACTAGCAACAACAAATGTTGGCGAGGATGTGGAGAAAAAGGAACTCTTGTGCACTGTTGGTGGGAGTGCAAACTGGTCCAACCACTATGGAGAGCTGTGTGGAGATTTCTGGACCTACTAAACATAGAGCTTCCATATGATCCAGCAATTCCACTCCTAGGTATTTACCCAAAGGACACAGAAACATCAATTCCAAAGAGCACCTGCACTCCTATGTTTATAGCAGCACTGTTTACAATAGCTAAGCTTTGGAAACAGCCCAAATGCCCAAAAATAGATGACTGGATCAAGAAGATGTGGTACATATATACCATGGAATATTACTCAGCATTCAAAAAAGATAAACACATGCAATTTGCAGCAACATGGATGGCACTGGAAGGGATCATGCTCAGCGAAATAAGCCAAAAAGAAAAAGAAAAATACCGGATGGTCTCACTCATAGCAGGAATCTAGAAAACTTAAATAAGGGACCAGGAAAATGAATATAAGAAAGTGAAAATCAAAATCAACAAAAAACTATGAACCAGAGACACTTTTTGGGGGTGGGGGGCGGGAGGGGAAGGATTGGGGTCAGAATGGGGCGTTTGCAATTGTATGGGGGAATATAAAAATAAAAGTTAATATTTAAAAAAAAACAAAAAAAAAAAAGAAAAAAAAAAAGAAAAAAAAAAAAAACCACATCTAAGCATATAGAATGAATACACTGCAAATGATGATAAAGAGGGCTGACATTTTGGCTGGAAATTGTCCAGACAGCTTGTCTTGAGATACTATTTTCTAAGTAGGAATTGTGAACAGAAACAGTAGCCAACACAGGGAACTAAAATTTCCTGTAAGCACATTACACCCACTAGTTCTGTTAGAGCAGCAGACTCATTTTCCACAGTTTTCCACAATTAAAATATTTTCTAAATGATCTCAATAAGTAACACATTTCCAGGAAAAAGTGGACATTGTCTCCATGAGGAAACTCAGTGAATAGCTAAACAAGACTTCAAAAACAAAAATTGCATCATACTTAGCTTGTCTGAAGTCAAACCATATACATATGGATACTGGTGACACCACTGGAATTTTATTGATCACATATTGCTGCCTTCAGCACTACCACTGCCTCCTCAGGACTTGATAGTAAACACCACATATTATCTATATGCCATAAATGCAAAAATGGAAGTATTTTTAATTATTGGCATGGGTGAGTAGACCTGCCCCTGTTCTGCAGCCTCCATTGCGGGGGAGAGCACACATGGAGAGCTGGGGCTGTGTTATTTCACACCTGCCATAGATGGCACCAGAGTGTGCCTCAGGGCTCTCATTTCCCACACTCCTTGGCTTGTTTTCCTGGAGTGTGCTTAGTGTCAGTGATCATGACCTGAGGCCTGCACACTACACTTCAAAGGAGAATAGTAACATCATTCTGGTCCAAATGTTCCCTTTAAACAGTTTTGCCAACCTCTCAGGACACAGTACTTCTCTGTTCTGTGGAAGTGTGAGCATGGAGGCTGAATCCACTGCTTCTTAAAATCTTTTGTGTGGGAACAAAGTATGAGGGAAAAATATAAGAAGTTCTGATTTTAAGTAAATAAACCCAATTTTTCATTTTGTGTATTTGAACTTTCTGAAAAAAAATATGGAAGTAGTTACCACATCTGTCTCATTCAACTTCTGTGTGCTGGGTATATAACTATGTCTGCGCCATAGGTAGGATTCTCATACTTTGTGGAATGAATGAATGAATGAATGAATGAGTGAAGCAGCGGTGCCATGCTAGATGAACTCCTGATCCAAGAGGGCATGTGCTTCCACTAGATCCATTCCATTTCTTGTTTAGGTCCACTTTGAGATGAAGGATGCGTATTTGCAAAAAGATGGTGTGGGTTAGTCTGTGACTTGGACGAAGAGACATAAGACCTAAGTAGTTATTGGTGGTGTTGCAGTTAATTTTCCTGGGTTTAGATCATACTTATAGGTTATTTTTGAATCCATACATTTTGTGAATTGTTTAAGTGGGATAATTAAATACATCAATGTTGCAGAATACTATTTTCTATTGGTCAAGACTTCCTGGACTGGTTTTATTATTTTTCTATCTGTATATATCTTGTTTGCTTTATGAAATCTTTATGTATGTATTTATAATTGGGAAATTATCATAATGCTATTACTGTCAATGAGATGGTATTTATTCGGGAAATGCAGTGCACCAGTCATCCCCTACATTGTTCCTTTCATAATTTAGAACTTTCATCCATTCATTTATTTATTCAATCCCCTAATGAAACTCTGTTCTAGACACAAAGTCCTCAAAGAGGAAGACAGCTTATTATTAAAACAAAAGTAAATGCAGACAACCATTTTTAGTGGCAATAAAGTGGTCTCATGATAAACTGACAAAACTCTGTAGAAATTCAGAAAGATGTAGCTTTGTTTTTGTTTTTTTTTTAAAGATTTATTTATTTATTTATATAAGCACTGGGTACAGTCAGAGGCGTGGGAGAGTGAGAGAATTCACCAGAGCCAGAGCGGGGAACAGAACAGGGAGACTGACGAAGTACACTGCTGAGGGGAGCAGCGGGCGGAGGAGAGGTCTGCGTGCCATGCGGGACCCTGCGCCACCAGGGGAGGCCCAAAAGATGTAGTTTTATACACACTATTTTCAGTAAACTCACTACTAATAGGTACCCTATAGCTATTTTTGTTTCCAAATTTTGTTTCTCTGATTTTGGAGGATGCAGTTTGCGTGGGTGTAGGAGAACAGAGAGTGATTCTTGAGATATGTTGTTTAATTATAATTTGTTTCCAAATTTGAGATGGTACATACAAGATTTGTCATTTTTACTGGGTAGTTTATAGAGGATCCAATTAAATTTACTGTGGAAGTAATACCTACAGTCTGTCAATTGAGTACAACACACGTTGGAGAGGTTAATTACTACCATTTCCCCCCCTTTTTTGATAGGCTAATCTTTATGATTGTTCTTCTGGGTGTTTCCTGTGATGTTTCATCATTAAACTGTGACATGATGTGTGACCAAGGCTTCTCTAATGAATCATTTCAAAAATGATGAAATCAACAAATATTGATCTGGTGTTTATGAAGGGTAGCATTCTATGTTAGGTCATGTGAGAAGTAAAAACAATGAGGGCATTTTTAATGTGTCCTCATACAACTTGTGATCTAGTTGAAGAATAAGGAAAGTAACTAGTAGAAGTATTTGAGACAATATTCAAAGCATGACATGTTTTTCAGAAAGCAGAGGCAATCGCCCTGAAATAAGATGGTCTGGAAGTGAAATTTCAATTGGATCATCTTGAAAGAGAATATGGGTAGCCAAAGGAGATCATTCATGACAAAAAAAGGATTGAACCAGGTGTGGGCAAAGAGACATATTAGTCCACAATGTATTTTTTCATAGGATACTGTGCCTGCTTTTGTTTGTAATTGTAGTGAATTGCCCTTACATGTCTCTTTGAGCTTTTTCTGAATTGATGTTGTGGCTAATTTCTCTCACCTATAGAATTCAGCTATAGACAGATTTTTCTTTGCCCTAAATAGTCAATAATTTGATCTTTACTGGTGGTGGGCCCATTTATCACAGTAAGTTGTCCTTTCACTATACATATTGACTTTTATTTATCAATACCAGAGTCCATTTGTAGCTCATCACTAAAGTTCTTGGATATTTTCAGTAGTTTTTGAAGATGCATTTTAGGGCTTGGCAGAAATATACTTTTGACATCAACACAGTACAAATGGTGGCTAGGCTCATCCCTAACTTAAAATCAACTGTTTATTTCCATGTAATGGATGCTGAATAGTCTACATTTAGGGGGCGAGGGGCCAAAAAGCAAACTCTTCTTGACAGTTCTACAACTGAAAGATGTAAGATTCTTCCATTTACTCATCACACACCTCAAAATATTGACAACTGAAAGGCCAGTGCTTTAAATATCTTTGTAATATCTTTGATAACTGGATAGAAGTTCATGTACTTTGTCTGGATATTTGACTAGGGCTTGTTTGACCATGAGAGCAATTTTTCTAAATCCTAAAGAAACTGCAGACAATAAGAAATCCCAGAACACGCTGCATGGTGAAGTCTCTATAGAAGGATTTACCATAAAAAAATTGTGGTGACAGGTCATCAGTAGTCCAGTAACTCCACCTCTCTATAGTCTCTATTATGGCTTCAGTTAATATCTAAAAATACCCTCCTCTTTTT